AAAGTTTCCTTCTATCACATAGATTAGCTGGAACTTATTTTCCATTTCTTTTGCAGGGTTTAGTTTCGGGGGTTTTGATCAACACATGCTTTCCTGGATGTGATGTCCCCTTATGGTTCCATCACCAATCTGGGGGGTCAGTGTTGGAGCTGAAGCTGCAACGACATTGGTACAACAATAAAATTTCTGGTATAGTACTGTGTGCCGTTGTCTCCTTGCAGGACAACCAAAACCAAAGCAACTGTTTCTCCGTCAAATGTGCTTTAGAGTTCAAAGAAGAAGACGGTTCTTGCATCAACATTGAGTGCAACGTTGGAAATTGGACCGAACCAGGAAGGATTGAGTCAGACCATGTCTTTATCGGCTACTCCAGTTTCTCAAACATTGCAAAGCGTCTGGAGTCCAAGTACTCCGGTAAGTGTATACCCACAGAAGCTACAGTTGAGTTCCATGTGACAGATGGTACAAGTGAAGTGGTGAAGTGCGGATTTAGTTTCATATATGCGGAACCAAGAAACCTCCCCTTTAGATTCAGAGAAAACCAGTATTGACCTTCTTCAATAATGGGTAGTTAATTGGTTGTGTTACTACTTCATCTATTTCCTCATTGGGATTTTGTCTTTCTTTTTTGCTATTACGTGTGAGATTTGTGCCTCACTGTTCACCATTTACATTTTCAAAATTGCGATGTTGGATTTTGGACAGAATCAAGCAAGTTGTTGTATGATTCTGTTTCTGTTATATACATCCACAACTTCCAGTGATACTTCAAGATTTATGTACAAATATGCCTCAAAATATTTACTTTATGTTCCAAGATTGGAGGTGAACATTTTAAGAAAGATAATTCGGATGATCCAGAGTGGAGTCCGACTAATTCCGAAAATGCAAATTCATTGGATAAGTATACATTGTGAAACATCTTAAATAAAACATTAATATGCTTTATTTCAGGAGCTTGATTTATTAAATGAAAAACAAAAGAGAGAGCTTGATTTATTAAGTGAAACAAAAAGAGCTTGATTTACACGAAATTTGAAAAGTATTTATTCTTTTATAAAGAACCAAAAAAAAAACATTGGTATTGAATTTATGGACATGAAAGTTACATGCATAGATAGATACCAATTCAGATGTTATTTATATTTTTGATAGGCTGAATGAAATGAAAATAATATAAAACCAATTAAGTTTTATATGGTCCCAAATGTTTATTGTATTATTTGTATATACATTCGGTTTTAATATATAGACAAGGAGGACAAAAAGTATATAAGGTGGGGAGATAATAAGAGAAAGGATAGATGAAGTTTTTGGTCATTTGGTGGACTCTTATCAGAGAATACTTCTTTCTCTA